AGTATACATGATTTTGGCAAAGTACCATCATCATGACTCGCCAGAGGAATAGGCTTCACATTCTCACTGAACTTTGCCTTGGAGCTCAACTGGAGGGGAAAAACAAATAAAACAAACAAAGTAAAATAAAAAATGTAAACTGAACCTTTTTTTCAAACTCGACTTCAAGGGAGCATCTAAAAATAATAATGTGGGACTCAATATTTTCATTAAATTGCACTTTCTGTGCAGGGATACTCTTACCTTCAGAAGCATTACATCATTTATAAAAGAGGTTGTGTTGACGTGTTTATGTGGAAATGGTTGTTCCACAGATATGCGCTGTATTTCGCTATTACTATTCACATTGTGAACTCCTAGTAAGGCAGTGTAGGACCTGAAATGACACAAAATTATGTGAAATAATCATCTAAGAACACAATGATTAGTGTTTCTGTGAGAATGTAGAACTCCTGCACCTACAGAAACTATTTACAGAAGCATTTAAATTTTCAGTGCATCAGTCTAGAAAAACATCATAGAAGAACATGAAGTTACTTAAACTCACTCGGCTTGGCAGGTGGCAGCAGTCATCACAAAATCCTCATTGAGAAGGAAGCCAGCACAGTATTTCTTTCGACCATCTGACATGTGCCTCTGCAAAAGCACCATGTATGGTCTGCTATGTGGCACTGCCTCATGGCCTCCAAGGATTGTATAAACTGGAAATATACATACATAATTTGCTATATTATCATTATATTCAGTAAAGTAAAACTGCAGAAAATGTAACTTACCATGACGATCAAGGGTCAGCACAAATATCAGTGTTGCCAGGTTACAGTGGATGAACATGATAGGTTCCCAGTGATAGGTCTGAAAAGAAGTGACACACATCTGCTGTGAAGCTGCAATATGTTTGTGCGATATGCACACGTGTGGTTTTTCACAACATGCTGATTATGATCAGAAAAAGAGAAACTGTGGAGTGAACTGAAACATCAACACACACGACAAACTCACTATAAAGAGTGATTCTGACCTCAAGTCTAAACTTTAACCAATACAAGAGGAGCTGAGACTGTGAACTGTGATGTTTAGTGTGTGTTGGCTCCCCTGCACGTGTTGCATACTTTATTTACAAAATTCCACAATGTCAGAATAAATTGTTAAATTTTGTCATTGTTGTTCTTAAATATGTAAACTGTGCCTTAAACTGCATGATTAGATATTCGTCTGTTCCTCGCCTACACATCTATAATTCTGGGGGAGATAATTAGCTGCAGCTGTTTAACTGCAGGCACATCCCATGTGAGAGTCTGGGTTCCTCGTCTTCTGAGGGATGTCCACCCCCTGGCATTTAGGGGCTCGCGTATGCTTGCACATGGTGAACCATTAGAGTTAAGCCGTATATGCGTGTGGGGAGATGACCTTTGGATAACCAGGAAATGTGGTTAAACAGTTGTAAGCATATTGTGTTCCGCCGGTTCCGTCGTTGTCTTGCTTTCTTCTTGAGTGATGAGTCTCTGAACTAGCGGGTCTGCTGAAGCGCAGATCCAACACACAACACATGCTCAGTGGATAATGAGACTTCTATAGGCCCAGTACAGGACTAGTAATGATAGCTCCTGTTGTCACAGCCCACAGTTCGCTTTTATATATGATACAGCTATAAAAGCGTTTGCGAAGAGGAAGAGAAAAAGTGCTAATGGGTGATATTTTCAGACCAGAAATGAAACTAGATAAAAAGGATGACTTGCCCATCTATTAAAAGCCTAGAAGAACTGCCAGATACACTTTATGACTAAAACTACATTGCACTGATAAATATTAACTGCAACTTTGCACTGTGATACAGACACACTTAGACACTGGAAGAAGAGACATGTTTGAACTGGCCTAACACATTTTAAAGTCCTAAAACTTATCTTCAAATTAGTTGCACTTATAAGACTAGATGTGCTCCCTACGATCCCAGGGCGATCGTGGCTGAAGAGTTGGCAGTTTGTCTTGTAATTGGAAGGTTGCCAGTTCGAGCCCCGGCTCTGACAGTCTCGGTTGTTGTGTCCTTGGGCAAGACACTTCATCCGTTACCTACTGGTGGTGGTCAGAGGGCCTGGTGGCACCAGTGTCCGGCAGCCTCGCCTGTCAGTGTGTCCCAGGGCAGCTGTGGCTACAATGTAGCTTGCCATCACCAGTGTCTGAATGGGTGGATGACTGAATGTAGTGTAAAGCGCTATACAAATACAGGCCATTTACTCAAATCAACAACTGATATGAAACGATGCAGATGAAGTGCAGACTCTCAGCTTTAGAAAAAGATTGCATAATAATTTGAGGAACAAAAGATTTTTAACACAATCCCTTCATTTCAAGGGCTCAAAGTAATCGGACAAATTAAATAACCAAAAAAAAAGGTTCATTTCTAATGTTGGTTGAAAACCCTTTGCTGGGTTTGATGACAGCCTGAAGTCTTGAACTCATGGACATCACCAGACGCCGGGTTTCCTTCTTTTAATGCTCTGCCAGCCTTTACTGCAGCGGCTTTCAGCTCCTGTGTGTTTGTGGGCCTTTCTGTCCAAGGTTTAGTCTTCAACAAGTGATATGCTCAGTTGGGATAACTGACTTGGTCATTCAAGAATATTCTGCTTCTTTGCTTTCATAAACTCCTGGGTTGCTTTGGGTCAGTGTCCATCTGTATTATGTCCAATCTATCCTATCTGTTCTTGAGGCTTATGAGTGACTTACACTGTAACAGCCACTATGGTGTGGTGTCCCATTAAGACACCCAAGTCGAGGGTTGATGGTGTCATCAGTTTGTGCCACTGCTCTCTCTCTCTCTCTCTGTGATTGTGTGGACATGTGCTTGCACGTTAGTGCATGAGGAGGGACGGATTTTATGTTTTACCTCTCCAGACACCTTTGTTTGCAACATTATGGGTTGTACGAACACTGTGCGCTATGTTTGTTAAGCTGCAGCCATTCAACCGGGCTTATATGGTTGATGAAGAGAAGGTTTATTAAAGAACACACTGTGGAATTCCCAACGCCAGCGTGAGTGTGTATTTTTTTGGCTACCCTGCTAAGTGTTTTGCCGCCTCCTCTCAACCACTAAACGCAACCCGATGTTACAACACCTTGCAGTGAACCCTCTGTATTTACTTTGATTGAGTCTTCTCTTTATGGTAGACTTGGATATCGATACTCCTACCATGGAAATGATTCTGAGATCTTCCACCAATGTCGCCTTCCTTGGACGTCCAGGTCTTTTTGCATTGCTGAGTTCACCAGTGCTTTCTTTCTTTCTCAGGGTGTACCAAACCACAGAATTTGCCACTCCTAATATTGTAGCAATTTCTGTTTTTGTTTTTTTCTGTTTTGGCAGCCTAACGATGGCTTGTTTCACCTGCATGGAGAGCTCCTTTGACCACATGTTGTCTGATCACAGCAAAATCTTCCAAATGCGCCACGCATCAAATCAACTTCAGGCCTTTTATTTGCTTAATTGATAATGCCATAACAAAGGAATTCCCCACCGGGAGTCCTGGAGTCAATTGTCCAATTACTTTTGTTTCTTTTAAAAAGACTGAAAGCTGAGAGTCTACACATCATATCCATGTCCATATAACTATAATTGCAATATGTTTCAGTGAACAATTAAAAAACAAAACTTGTGTTAGTGTCCAAATATATATGGATCTAACTGTATACCTCCTATCACATCTGCCTGGCACATGTTGGGTTGACGTGTTCATCAGAGTAAGCCACAACCAGTAACTACTGCCCAGCTGCACTCATCCAAGCATGGAGAAACTGTAGATACATGAAACTCAAAAGTATTACTGTATTTATTTGTTCTGCAAAATGTGTAACAACATGAAACAGAAGCATAACTTTAGGAACAGATCATGTACAGATCCAATATCTGATTAAAAAACTGATCAGCTGGCGATATAAATCTATAGTTAATCAAATGTAATTTACTGAAAAGTTATTTTATTTGAAAATAATCTCTTGTCGTCATTTGTCTTGGAAATACAGCAACTGTACATTTAGCTGGTTTGATGAGCAAATAAGCCAGTAGCAGGGGTGTCATTTTCTAAGTGCCAAACAAGTAGTGATGAGAGGGAAATGGTGACAGAGATGGTTAAAGAACATTTTACTCTTGAGTAAATAAGCTATTTAGCTAAGAGTCTTGAGGATGAAGCAGTTTCTTTCATCTTTGTCATTGAGAGCTGCATTCTGGCACATGTACACCACAAGTCTTTGATTTTCCGGTCTGAGCTGGAAGTGCAGCTTGTCGCTAACTAAGCGACAGAGCCCTCTACTGGACACTACTCATAACTATACAACTTATACCAATAAACAAAAACGGACCTTTACACCTCTGAACCTGAGGTGAAGAGAGAACTGTGGGGTTTTCAGTAGTGAGAGTGAAATGATTTGCCTTCAGTAGGTTGGATTTAGTGCCAATAAGGATTTCAGTTTAAACCTCACTGAGCTTGAAAATTAGCGCTGAACCAGGATTTTAATTTAGATAAGCATTCTGTAAGAGAAGAAGGTGGGAGGGAGGTATCAGGCCTGCAGGAGAGCTATAACTGGATGTCATCGGCAAAACAGTGAAAATGAAGATCAAATTTACTGAAAAAATGGTACCAAGAGGGAGGATGTATATTATGAAGAGAAGAGGGCCTAAGACTGAAACTTAGGGTACACCAGAAGTGACTGGCGATAGACAAGAGCGGAATGATTTAAGTTGAATAAACTGGGAGCAAAAGATCATTAGTGACTTTAAGTAAAATTGTATATAAAATGGTATATACATATATAAAAGGGGGGTGCAACAATACTCGTATCGATATTG